CAAATGCTCACACTATTAATAAATTATTTACTTATTTATTAATAATTTAAAATACAAAATTGTTTTTTCCTACACCGATCAGATTAATGAATATGCGCTCATAATTGCTCACTAAATGTTCAATCCAAATCTGCAATTGCTCACATTACTAATTAATTATTTAAATAGTTATTAATAATTTAAAATACAGAATTTTTTTTGTCTTTTATACTTAAAACCAATAAACTTTTTTTTAAATGAATAACTGCTTATAATTGCTCACAAAATGCTTAATTTAAATCCGCAAATGTTCACACTATTAATAAATTATTTAATTATTAATTAATAATTTAAAATACAAAATTGTTTTTTCCTACACCGATCAGATTAATGAATATGCGCTCATAATTGCTCACTAAATGCTCAATTCAAATCTGCAATTGCTCACACTATTAATTAATTATTTAATTAGTTATTAATAATTTAAATTACAAATTTGTTTTTTCCTAAACCACTCAGATGAATGATTTAGTGCTCATAATTGCTCACTAAATGCTCAATTCAAATCTGCAATTGCTCACACTATTAATTTATTATTTAATTAGTTATTTATAATTTAAAATACAAAATTGTTTTTTCCTAAACCTCTCAGATTAATGAATAAGTTCTTATAATTGCTCAGTAAAAGCTCAATTGAAATCCGCAATTGCTCACATTATTAATTTATTATTTAATTAGTTATTAATAATTTAAAATACAGAATAGTTTTTGTCTATTATACTTAAAACCAATAAACCAATTTTAAAATGAATAAGTGCTCATAATTGCTCACAATATGCTTAACTGAAATCCGCAATTGTTCACACTATTAATTAATTATTTAATTACTTATTAATAATTTAAAATACAAAATTGTTTTTTCCAAAACCACTCAGATTAATGAATGAGTGATCATAATTGCTCACTAATGCTCAATTCAAATCTGCAATTGCTCACGTTATTACTTTGTTATTTAATTAGTAATTAATAATTAAAAGTACAAAACTGTTTTCGTCTATTATAATTAAAACCAATAAACCAATTTAAAAATGAATAAGTGCTTATAATTACTCACAAAATGCTTAATTGAAATCCGCAATTGTTCACACTATTAATTTATTAGTTAATTACTTATTAATAATGTAAAATACAAAATTGTTTTTGCCTAAACCGCTCAGATTAATAAATAAGTGCTATAAATTGCTCACTAAAGGCTTAATTAAAATACATAATTGTTCACACTATTAATTAATTATTTAATTACTTATTAATAATTTAAATTACAAAATTGTTTTTTCCTCAACTACTCAGATTATTGAATAAGTGCTTATAATTGATCACTAAATGCTCAATTCAAATCTGCAATTGCTCACACTATTAATTAATTATTTAATTAGTTATTAATAATTTAAATTACAAACATGTTTTTTCCTAAACCACTCAGATTAATGAATAAGTGCTCATAATTGCTCAATAAAAGCTCAATTCAAATCCGCAATTGCTGAATTAATAAGTAATTAAATAACTAATGAATAGTGTGAACAATTTCCGATTTCAATTAAGCATTTTGTGAGCAATTATGAGCAGTTATTCATTTAAAAAAAAAGTTTATTGGTTTTAAGTATAATCGACAAAACCAATTCTGTATTTTAAATTATTCATAACTATTAAAATAATAAATTAATAATGTGAGCAATTGCGGATTTGAAATGAGCTTTTACTGAGCAATTATGAGCACCTATTCATTAATCTGAGTGGTTTAGGAAAAAACAATTTTGTATTTTAAATTATTAATAGGTAATTAAATAATTAATTAATAGTGTAAAAAATTGCGGATTTCAATTAAGCATTTTGTGAGTAATTATGAGCACTTATTTATTTTAAAATTGGTTTATTGGTTTTAAGTATAATAGACAAAAAAATTCTGTATTTTAAATTATTAATAACTAATTAAATAATAAATTAATAATGTGAGCAATTGCGGATTTCAATTGAGCTTTTACTGAGCAATTATAAGCACTTATTCATTAATCTGAGAGGTTTAGGAAAAAACAATTTTGTATTTTAAATTATAAATAACTAATTAAATAATAAATTAATAGTGTGAGCAATTGCAGATTTGAATTGAGCATTTAGTGAGCAATTATGAGCACTAAATCATTCATCTGAGTGGTTTAGGAAAAAACAAATTTGTAATTTAAATTATTAATAACTAATTAAATAATTAATTTATAGTGTGAGCAATTGCAGATTTGAATTGAGCATTTAGTGAGCAATTATGAGCGCATATTCATTAATGTGATCGGTGTAGGAAAAAACAATTTTGTATTTTAAATTATTAATTAATAATTAAATAATTTATTAATAGTGTGAACATTTGCGGATTTAAATTAAACATTTTGTAAGCAATTATAAGCAGTTATTCATTTAAAAAAAGTTTATTGGTTTTAAGTATAAAAGACAAAAAAATTCTGTATTTTAAATTATTAATAACTATTTAAATAATTAATTAGTAGTGTGAGCAATTGCAGATTTGGATTGAGCATTTAGTGAGCAATTATGAGCGCATATTCATTAATCTGATCGGTGTAGGAAAAAACAATTTTTTATTTTAAATTATTAATAAATAATTAAATAATTTAGGAATAGTGTGAGCATTTGCGGATTTAAATTAAACATTTTGTGAGCAATTATGGGCAGTTATTCATTAAAAAAAAGTTTATTGGTTTTAAGTATAATAGACAAAAAAATTCTGTATTTTAAATTATTAATAACTATTTAAATAATAAATTAATAGTGTGAGCAATTGCAGATTTGAATTGAGCATTTAGTGAGCAATTATGTGCACCTATTCATTAATTTGACCAGTCATACTTCCAAGCCAACTTCTTTGTGCTTAGTGCGTCTAGGTCATTACTATTTCGTTCGTTAATTTGTCTGATTGGCAAAGTCACTGAGTTTTTTATGCAGAATAATGTACACCGTGGCAATAAAAATGCAAATAAATCATCATCACTTATCATAAAGAAAACTAATTCCACTCGAAAAAAAGTCGCAGGCAACGCTATTGATATTGGCTCGATATTTCGAGCTTTTGTTGCATCGTTATCGTACCGACTTATCAAGGAGCGGCCTGAAAAGTCTAAGCGAAAGAGATAACTCCGTTTTAGTCCAAGTTAAAATTGTAGCGCCGTCGTACAGTGAAAAATGGCATAAGATTTTACAATAGTAAAGAATAATGCAGTTTCAATTTTTTTTTATATTTCATGATAGTTTCTTAAGGGGGATATTTGTTATTGTTACCACACTTAGCAGGCCGGATGGCAACCGCAGTCTTTTATTTTCCAGTTGTTATGAAGGCGCTGCCTATATCGCCTTCTACGACACCCACCATTATAGGTTCTGTTAGGTGAAGAGTAAAAATAAAACAAATAATTTGCTGATATAATTTATATATTTAACACATAGTAACATATATTAATACACAAGAAATTACGAACAACATCATACATTATATTATGATAACAACATGTTTATAATAATCACTCACCAATCGATAGATACGACTCGAACATTTATTAAAATTCTTAGGCCTTTTGTGATATTTGAAATAAAATAAAGGAGAAAAAAAAATTAGAAGATATTTGATATCTTTAACAGCAATATGTATCAATTGGCAGAAAATATTTTTTCTGTTTTTAAATATGATTTCAGAAAATATTTAAGTAGATAAAATCACAGACCTTAGACTAATTACATTTAACATCGCCTTGGATTATAGGAAAAAGTTGATATGTAAGACTTGACGTAGTTACAGCTAATTCATTACATTCAATAAGAACTTTCCAACCATTCCGATATGTATTTTACCTAGGCACCTAGCATAATGTGACTAGAAAGGATAACCCTAAAATTATATTTTAATGAAATACAGCGGGAAAATATACATTACTTATATATTAGGAAGTAGCTTACACCTAAGTTGATATGTTTCTTTATATTTACCCGTAACTTTAACATCAAATTACTGAATACCTAATATAAATGCCCCAGCCAGTAGGATATGTATTTGTTTCAATTATCGAAGACTTAATCTAGAATTAATTCTAAATTAATTTAATTTTAAAAGGATCAAACGCATGAAAACGCTCTAGTAATAGCAATTAGAATTAACTTTAAGAATATTTCAAATAACATTCATAAGTGTTCATAAAAACATCTATTATTATTAGTTTTCTATACTAAGAACTACCCACATAGTATATAATTTAGATTTAACCTAAGCCATGTTAACATTTAACTTTTTAATATGATAATTTTTTTTTTTACTTTTTTGAAGCCTTATTATTAAAAGAATAGGCTGTGATCGGTTGACCGTTTTCGAAAGCAACAACATCATTTTTAAGGATCCCAATTTTAAATTTACTTCTTTTAGATATTAAATTAAATAAAAACAAATAAATTCAAAACTCTATTAAAAGTAATTCTGTAATTTTATATTTAAGAGATTTCGCAAAAATACTACGAACCATTTTTAAATTCTTGTTCATAATTTCATATGCAATAGTAATAGTGTAGCCTTTCGCTACAATAGTGAATAAAATTATCATATTTGCATCATGAAAGGAATCGTAATATATATGCCTTAAATAATGTTCTCTTGAACTAATAAACATATTACTAATAAACAAATAGTTTTTAGTTATCTGCAATTTATCTTTTAGTAGCCGACTGTCTGTCAAATATAAATTTTGTTTTGAAATTGCCTTCATTAGTTCAGCAGGTAAGTAATTCTTACTTCGAGTAATATGCTTAAGTTATTGTTTAATGTGACCAAAATAACAAAATGAAAAGTGAAAAATCAAGATACTTATTAAAATTAATATTTAATTTATTATGTAATTGTTTAACGTATTGGTAGAACGATTTGGACGAAAAGTTATAGTGGACATATTACTCTAAGTAAAACAAAAACAAGGATTTTAATGAAGTCTGTAGACGCCGATGCGTTTTTCACCAGCCGTGTGTTGCACGAACTCACGGATCTGATCTGTTGCTACCGGCCCAATGCACGCAAGAGGCTCCTTGAAGTAGCCGCAGCTCTGTGTACAATTACGCATTATATTTAATTTACATATAATTATCATTACAGCCGTCTATCTATCGCCTTACTGTATGTCCTTACCAGGTTCTTAGTCTATCTAGCGGAGGGCCTACAATCCGTTTGCCGGTATAAAACTACCATTATCTAAGCATAAAGAAAACTCCATCAGTTGTCGGTTCGTCGATCCATGTGGTCGACCCATTTCCAATTCAGCTTACTGATGATCCCTTGGTCTAAGTCCGTTACTCTGGTTCTGATACGAATATAATAATTATGGATACTTCGATTAAGATGGTTTTTTTATAGGAGGGGGCAAACGAGCATGCGGCTCACCTGATGGTAAGTGACTACACGAACAACTGCAACACCAGGGGGACCAGGGGAATTACAGATGCGTTGCCGGCCTTTTAAAAAGGAATAGGCTCTTTTCTTGAAGGTCCCTATGTCGTATCGGTCCGGAAAAATCGTTCATGGTAATTGATTCCGCAAGTAAGTTGTGCGAGGAAGAAAACATCTTCTAAATCGCACAGTGGTGAACCGCCAATCATCCAGATGGTGTGGATGGTATCGGGAGTTCTGCCGCGGTGTGGGTTCGTGAAATGTGGCGGCAGGGGTTAATCCGAACAATTCCTCAGAGCACTCCCCGTGGTAAATGCGAAAGAAAATGCAAAGGGATGCAACATCTCTTCGCAGTGCCAATGAATCGAGCCGATCGGAAAGGACTCGGTCGTCGACGATTCGAGCCGCTCTGCGCTGGATACGGTCAAGTGGAAGGAGCTGGCACTGGGGAGCCCCTGCCCAGAGATGGCAACAGTATTTCATGTGAGGCCGAACCTGCGCCTTGTAAAGTTGCAGGTGGTGTGCCGGCATGAAATACTGTCCCGCTCTGCTGAGTACGCCAAGCTTTTTAGAGGCCAATTAGGCCTTCTCTACCAAGTGACCACGAAACTGCACGTCACTCGATATGTCGACTCCAAGGATTCCGATACTGGCTGAGGCAAGAAGGGGAGTGCCTTGAAACTGAGGAGATACGACAAAGGGGTTCTTTTTAGCGGTAGAATAGAATAGAATAGAATAGAATGATTTTTATTCAATATGGATTATTACATAATACTTATTGAAAGTCATTATTTTATTTACCACTGGTTCGGAAAATACCTCCTGTCCTGGGAAGAACCAGCAAGAAACCCAGCGGGACTTTTTTTTTTTTAAACATAATTTCACTTAACAATAATTTTGATTATACAATTTTAAATGAATTTTCATAGAACCAGCATGGTGGCGATCACCTTATTCCCAGGGGTTATTTTCACTCATGTATTCCTTGATATTATAATAACCCTTTTTGTACAGTTTTTCTTTAATAAAACTTTTAAACTTGTTTATTGACAAACTTTGAACATGTTCTGGGATTCTGTTGTAAAAGCGTATACATTGCCCCATAAATGAATTACTAATTCTGTGGAGTCTTGTAAGTGGCATTACAAGCTTATGTTTGTTCCTAGTGTTTAAGGTATGAACATCCTTATTCTTATTAAAGCTATTTATGTTTTTATGTACATACATTACATTTTCATAAATATATTGCGATGCCAAAGTTAATATGTTTATTTCTTTAAATTTTTCTCTAAGGGACTCTTTACAATTTAGATTATAAATCGCCCGTACGGCTCTCTTTTGCAAAACAAATATAGCTTCAATATCAGTCGCATTACCCCATAGCAAAATTCCATAAGACATTACGCTATGAAAGTAACTAAAATACACTAACCTAGCTGTCTCAACATCTGTGAGACTTCTAAACTGGTAAACGCGCAAACTTGTGTCTTGATATAAGAGGATAAAAATATGTTAATTTTCCTTTTGGCGATAGTTCCAAAAGGAAAATTAACATATTTTTATCCTCTCAGCTAACGTGTGATGGACTGAAATAGTTTACTATTTTTACATATGTATTACCAGTATTTTTAACGAACAATGGTGATCAAAAATATAAGTATGAAATTAATAGCGTTTAGTTTCTTTTGGATATATTTATAAAGAAAATAAAAAAAATGTTAAATATGTTTTAAATACAATCTAAATGATCATATATATCGAAACCATCCATTAAAATAAATTTTATAGAGACATTTAGAAGGTAAATAATACATTATTTATAAACAATGTATCAACTATTATAACATACCAGCAATAACTATACTCGTATATCGGTATAAGAACTTGGTGTACTACTAGCACGAGTACTTTGTTAGAAAGCCAAGTGAATCTGACCGTCTGTCTGTCTGATTTAATAGAATCAGACAGCAGATGATTCTATGTATGTAATAACATAGAATCATCACTCAATCTTATGTATCTTAAGAGGCGGTTAGGGATTTTTTACAAAATTTAATGGACAAACAAACTTAAAGTCCATCTGATGGTTAGTGGAATTGCAGTCCATGGTCACCTACTTGTCTGTTCAACCAACTTCAAATAAAGAAGGCTACAGATGTGATGTCACCTCTGAAGACTTAGATGGGATGGCTCACATCCTATAATTATATCCATCCATCCATCATCAGGCCATCTATACTTTTCAGACCGGAACACAGCCAATGGATGCACTGATGTTCGGTGGCAGAAATAGATAATCCCTAGGTATAAAAGAAGTCCTGCCACCTGGTAATTCCTTAAACCTGCCTCCGGTTGATGCAGGTCAAACGATCTTGTTTTTAACCATGTATAGAATACACGAACCTGCGACTGGAAGCAGCGTCATACTAATCTAGCGTAGAAAGTCTGGAACTACTAATGCCATCCCTCAAATGAAGTGTGGCGATTATGGCAAATCCTCTTTCTTTACTACAGTAGAAGCCCATATCCAGGATTGTGTTATTTACGCGTTGATGAGGGTGAAAGATGATGATAATGGTGATAAAATATCGACTGAATTTTGTGATGGATCTTTGTTGATATCTAGACTTTATAAGTACTTGTAAATGAAAAATATATTTGTATTGTATTATATCCTGTCCATTCTGTCCATTTTTCGCATAAACCATTTTTTGAGAAGCCTTTCGTTGTGTTAATATTATTAATAATCTCTTTGAAAATGAATTCCAAATGTCGTTTAAACTTACTCAACCATGATGGCTGGTGAAAATGAATGAAGTTGGTGTAATATTTGAAATAAAAAATAAACTTAAAAGAAAGTACTTCAATGAATACTTTAATTAAGTTGGGGCGCAGTTATTTTTTCTTTTCTTTCCTTTCGCATTCAATGAATGATGGCGGGAAAGTAAATGTAAATTGGATAAAATAGCTGATTGCCTAAGCTTAGTCTGCGTTATATTTTCTCTTTTTATTAAGAAAATAAATAAAAGGCGTTTCACGCGATAAGCTTTAATAACGATTTTAATTAAAACGCTAGGATTAAAAATGAAGGAACTTTTAAATTAAGTTATTTTCAGGTAGTAAACTAAGATAACGAACTCGTTTATTTCTTAACACTAAAAATATAAGCCAGTATAGAATAGAATAGAATATTTTTTTATAGTTTTTTATATTACATATTACTTATCGAAAGTAATTTTTTATTTATTTACCACTGGTTCGGAAAATACCTCCGTCCTGGGAGGAACCAGCAAGAAACTTATTTATAATTTCGTTTATACAATTTTTAAATGATTTTTCATAGAAGCAGCATGGTGGCGATCACCTTATTCCCAGGGGTTATTTTCATTCATGTATTCCTTGATATTATAATAACCCTTTTCGTACAGTTTTTCTTTAATAAAACTTTTAAACTTGTTCATTGACAAACTTTGAATATGTTCTGGGATTTTGTTGTAAAAGCGTATACATTGCCCCATAAATGAATTACTGATTCTGTGGAGTCTAGTAACTGGCATTACAAGCTTATGTTTGTTCCTAGTGTTTAAAGTATGCACATCCTTATTCTTATTAAAGCTATTTATGTTTTTATGCACATACATTACATTCTCATAAATATATTGCGATGCCATAGTTAATATGTTTATTTCTTTAAATTTTTCTCTGAGGGACTCTACAATTTAGGTTACAAATCGCCCGTACGGCTCTCTTTTGCAAAACAAATATAGCTTCAATATCAGTCGCATTACCCCATAACAAAATTCCATAAGACATTACGTTATGAAAGTACTTTATCATACTTACCGTGCTTTACCATACACCGCTAGGTGGGTTTGTAGTAATGTTGTTACCGTTACCGTTACAGTCTATTAAAGTCCATTGCTGATCATAGGCCTCCCCAATATATAGACTCATAGGGATATTTGCCATAGATTTGCCACGTTTGGCAAGCGCATTGGCAACCGCAGTATTTTTTTAGCTGTTATTAAGAAGACGTTGCTGCCCATTTCCTGATTTGGGCTCTGTCGCCTCTTGTTGTAAAGCAATGGATTTTAATAAGAAAAAAAAACATTGATAATATTATCTTCAATGTAAGTAATTGTGGATTTTTACTAAAATATTATAAATATTAATATAATAATTTTGTGTTTGTGTGAGAATACCAAAAAATCCATTTGACTAAATGGATTTAGTCAATGGGGTATCTTAAGAGGCGACAGAGAGAACCGAACTAGCAGAGTCTTAGTAACAACTCAAAAATAATAAAAAACTGTGGTCGCCTACTAAGGTTTGGGAATTCCGGACAATTTCAAAATCCCGGGATACGGGACAGCCTATAATCAAGTTCCCGGGACTTCGAGACTTAAGAAAAAGCTTTTTTTTTTAAGATGTGCAAGCCTTTTTTGAAGAATTTTAATTGAGTTAATTTCTGGTGAACCTTATTAAAAAGAGGCAATTTTTTGTAAAAATCAACTTTTATTAAACAATTAAACAGAAAAGTAAATAACTTTAACGTTAATTTCTTCTTATCGTCTTAATTGCTTTGTTTATTTCTTTTAATCACACACAGATGCACTTCTAAACAGTTAAATCTTATAGTTATGAAACGAACTTAGTTAAAAACTCAGTTAAAAAATCATACCAATTCTTAATAACTTTACTATTATCTAGTAATTCTAGTATCTAATCATAGTTCATAATCTCATTGTTAATTCTCATAATCACATATTTGTTTCATTTATTGTGTTGCGTACTCAGTAGTTACGTAGTAGACCAAGTAATTTTTCATTAAATTAACACATGGCGCTAGGCTCCTTCAATTATTTGAAAATAAAAATGATTACATAACAATTTCGAAAATCTTGTCTCGTCTCGAGTCTAGACCCGAAAGTCCTGGGACTCGAGACAACTAAAATTACGAAAAGTCCCGGGGACTTCGAGACACGAGACGTCCCGGGACCCAAAACCTATCGCCAACTCAAGCAAATATCCCCCCTATTAGGCAACCTATGGGGAGGTTTATGATAGGATGTAACAAAATTAAAATAAATATTAGGTCTATGTATTTGCCTTTAAGAATACAATAACTTTTTATGTAAAACAGTGTACATCCCACAGCTTCAGGGAGTGGAGCACAGTCCAGTCATGATAAAAAGATAACTACTGATTTTCGAGATCTCAGACTTTTTTCTTTCACGCACTCATCTTTCATATTTCTTACTAAAACAACCCGAAAAAGTTTACTGTGTTGGATTTATACATATTATTCATCTAAAATCATGTTATTGGTTGCCAATGATTTTAGGTGCATATCTGTGCGTGGGTGTGTGGTCGTACACACAACGCTACCTCAACTATCTTTATTGGTCGGAGTTGGAGTTATGATTTCTATGCTACATGTTGTTCAGAATTATCTAATACCTTTCTGGGTTTCTGGCGGTGTCGGCGCTGCATAATGCAACAAAGTCCACGTGTGATATCGCATTCGCTGGAGACGGTGCAGTCGTCGTTGTATTGCTTGTGGCCGACGGTTGGGGGGCGGCAAACGTGCATCTCACCTAAATAATTTCAGTGTTCTATGTTTATACCAAATCTCGTGAAGAATGAAAAAATTAAAATTAAAAGTAGATATTATTTTTAAATACACATACAAAACAAAATGCGTTCATATATATTTCTATTGTTACAAGTATTTATTCCTCCCATAGGAATAAGAATTGCTTGAATACATTTTTTAATAGGAATTATATGATCTCGTTTCCATGCATGAATCCACAGTATATCAAATATTCGGGCGAAGCGTTTTGCATCGTCGTTTGTGATACATACAGCAATGGACTAGTACAATTGTAACTGTGCACACAGAAAACTAGTATTTTTTTTTCTATGCACGTGTTTGTGGTACTGTATCATAAAAATATAATCCTTTTTTTATGAAGAACATACCAGGAACAACCTCCTCGCAGACTAGTCCAGCATCACATTGATTCTCACGATTACATATCTCTCCTAATTTTCTTCCGGCGAATGCTGGTAGACAACGGCCTCCTTCTTCTGTTAAAACAAGAAAGATATATATTAATAGGTACATTTATGCATAACTTTGAATTTATAGTAAAGATAACAAACGACACAACAGTAACCAAATTGTTAAGGGTACGGATCAGAAACTTTAAAGCTCTGAGTTTGAATCCACTATTCGACGTCAGTCGTGAGCCACTCCTTTAGTTGTGCGTGGGGAAATAAATACTTAAGGATGCCCGTTTGTCATGGAGGCCACAGATAGGTATATTGCCGGTATAGGCCGCGCTCTTACTAGCTAAAATCCATTATCTCATCGGCTTTTGTCGGGACTACGGGAACGCAGTTTGTACACTACCGTAACACCGACGGCGGTAGCTCAGACTTCTTCACGATTAGGGGTGGATGTGAAGTTCCCTAACCTTCTTCATATAGGTACGCGCGGAAATACTGTAGGGAGCCTTACGCATAGGGCGACGGAAACCCTCCGTATCCGCTGCTTAAGCCTCAAATATGGGGGCTTAATATACTATCCTCCATCGCCCAGCATTTCGACTGTGGATTGAGATATGTATCTGCATTTTAAGTTGATTTGGAGTGGTAACCGGAATATTAACAATACTAATAGCATTGCTATTTTGTATTTAGCCGTGTTGAATAAATGTCTAAACAATTCTATGTATAATTTAATATTTTTTTAAAAAGATAAAAAAAATAGTCGAATGGCGCATTCTAACCCACAACCTTTTGGGTTCGCGGTCTACACTATATTCTATCTCATTCTCTCGCAGGCTAAGTCCTATAGATGTATATGTTTGTCTGTTTTTAATTGTATTAATATTATTTTTATAAGTTATGCTTTAAAAAAAAGTACCGCTGGGTTTCTTGCTGGTTCTTCCCAGGACAGAGGTTTATTTCCTAACAAGTGGTAAAAGTAAAAAATAACTTTCAATAAGAATTACATGTAATCAATATTGATATAAATGATTCTATTCTGTTCTATTTTAGTGTCGTTTTTTCGTTTTATCGAGTTTCTAATTATAAAGATTCTAAAGAAAAGCGTACGTCTAACCTCTATAATGTCTTGGTGGACACCGGGCACTGGTGTCAACAGGGAAAGTGGTAGACGTTGATATTGTGACATGACATGATATTAGACAGACGATGATATTATGCAAAAATTTTGTCACCACCAGTCTGGTTGGTTTATTATAATTTATATGATAAATATAAAAAAAAAATAAAGTGAAAACTTAAATGTGTTGGCAACATTTTCTAAATATCAATAAGCCTTTCCATTAGATAAATATCACAGAGTTTAATTTATGAATATCTGCAATGTTCATGTTACAATAGGTAGTAATTTAGTGTCATGTTTATGATTTTTTTTATCGAGCCAATTTTATCGAGCCAATTATATTTTCTTTTATCGAGCAAATATTATTAACAGTCAGTTCACTTTTCTGTCAATACAAAATTATTATTCGATGTTTTACTTTTACAAAATGATTTTACGCAATTTTGTTTTTACGCAATTATGTAAATTTGAAGAGATTCTAAATAAATTAGAAAATATTAGACTTGTATATTTTATGTAAAAAAGGCATACAAGCATTTTGACCTTCCATATAGTGTAAGAGATTAACCCTGTAGGTAACCTATATTGTAATTATGTTTTTAAAGTTTTAAGTTACAGCCTTTATACGCCCCACTGCTGGGTACAGGCCTTCTCTCATTTCTGAGAGGGTTTTAGGACAAGGAAATGTCCGCCGCGCTACCCGAATGCGTGTTGGCGAACTTCACATGTCTTCTTAATATTTTTTTTACTTTTTCCTAGACATGCAGGTTTCCTCACGTTGTTTTCCTTCATCGCCGAGCACGTAGTAAAACAGCACGTAAAATTGCAATTAACAATTTTATTTGTGCCGGCGGAGGGCGAACCTGGGCCGCTCGCGTACTGTGAAATTTACAGTGAGCGCTTAGCCCCTCAGCTACCACGGCTACGGATAAATACACAACAAATAATGATTTCTTATATTTACCCGAACACTACACATTTAAATAAAACTAGTTTTACGGATTTTATCGCATATATTAACTTATTTTATAAACGGTGCTAAGAAACAGTTTATGAATATATAGCTTAGCTTAGTGCGAATATTCGGAATATCAACCAAGTGTGGATGGTAACCTGCAGTACGTCTCGTATTCCGATAGGAGGATGGAGAAGGCGGTATAAGGTTATGAAGCTCATGGGCACACTCCCCGAAGTACAATCTGTAGAAGACCGACAAACAAGCAACTTGGCGGCGTTGAGCTAAGCTGTGAAACATAGATTTCACCAGCTTTTTGTCGCCAATAAGCCTTTTGGCTCTGCGTTGTACTGATTCGAGTGCGGTAAGTTGATAATTTGCTGAGCCATCCCAAATGTGACTACAATAAAAGCGCAAGCCCGAACATGCATGGAGTATTTTTTTCGGGCTTGAGCTTTGTATAAAGTTAAAAGCTGTCCAAGCGTAAAATATCGCTTCACCTTATTTAAAATACCCAGTTTTTTGGCCGCAATTTGTACTTCCGACTCAAAGTTGGCGTCAAAGTTGAGGTTAGCACTCAACTGTATGCCGAGAAGCTCGAGATGATCAGTAACCTCTACAGATGTACCTCGGAAAGTAGTAAACAAATTAAACAGACTCCATTTTGTGGAAAACAGACAGGCCTGCATTTTTTGTGGCGCTGAAAGTGACCAGATTGTCATCACCCCGTTGGGAGACGAGACTTAAGGTCGCATTTATCCGGTTCACCATGGCCTCTCTGAGTGAACGTATTACTGCCCCTCCGTCTTTTGCACTGGACATGAATTTCTCTGTGAATGTGCTGTTATCTGCATACCCAACAATACCTGGTAGAAGTAGGTCATTAATGTGCAGCAGGAAAAGAGTCGCAGAGAGAACAGACCTACGTGGATAACTACCCTGATCGACCATTCACTCAGTAAGTTAGACATCCAGTTGCAAAATTCGGCGGCGATGCCGTAAACAGGAAGCTTACTCAGCAGACTTGCGTGCCACACTATTTCATAAGCCTTGGAGATATCGAGTGAAACTGCTACAGCTTCACTATTCTTCTCGATGGCCTCGCCCCAGAATTGCGTGACATACACAAGAAGATCCCCAGTGGACCGTCCCCGGCGGAAGCCATATTGTTGTTCACTGAGAAAGTAATTTGTTTCAAGATATAATAATAATAATAATAAAGTCTTTATTTATCTTCTCACATAACATGAAGTAAAACAATGTAAATCTAGTAGTACATAAATAGAATTTTATTATGTGAGAAGCTGGTAGCCATATATAAGCCTGTAGTACAAGTCACCAGGTTCTCACCCCTCGAATGCTATGACATTGTATGAAATTATTCTAGGAACACAATAGATAGATAGATAAAAAAGTTATTCTTATATTGTAATGAAATATAATTACAACGAAGATCCAGGATAAAATACTAATTAAGAGTGTATTAGGATATCAAATGAGTAAATACATATATGTATGTATGTATGGTGTTATATATTTATATTAGTGTAGTGTATTGTATGTGCGCGCGCGCGCATGTGTGTGTTTGTGTGTGTGTGTGTGTGTGTGTGTGTGTGTGTGTGTGTGTGTGTGTGTGTGTGTGTGTGTGTGTGTGTGTGTGTGTGTGTGTGTGTGTACACATTATATTTATCTTGATAGGAGCGATTCCGTTAAATCATAATCTAATTTCAGTAACCAGTCATGTACGTATTTTCTGCAATCATATTTATTGTTAGCATATATAGATAATTTTTCATTTATTTTATTGTATAAGAATCCACCCAAGTAGCAAAAGAATTTTTTTGTATATGTCTTCTTTGTTGCAAATGTTGCGCAAACTGTATTTTTACGTCTACAAATTTATGGGGATCATAGGTATTTTCACTGTGTTGCTTCAAAAATGTATAGAGAATAAATAGCTGACGTACCGTTAGTACCTGCCAGTATCGATAAAGAAGTTCAGTTGGATGTCTATAAGAGAAGAACCCGCAAACTTTTAAAATGGCCCTTTGTGATATTTCTACGCGCTTTATAACTGTTTTAGGAGCACCACCCCAGGAGGTGATGCAATAAGTAAGAAGGCTTTGTGCTAGTGCATAGTAGATACGTGTTAAAGCTGATCTATCTAGCACATGGCGTACATTTTTGAATATGTATATTAATTTAGATAGTCTATTGGATAATACTTCGATATGATTTTTAAAAGAAAGGTTGGAATCTATTATTACACCAAGATACTTAATGTTATGGACTAATTCTATTTTGTTACATTTACATGATTTAATATTAATATTTGAGAGACATTTGTGTGAGATCAGAGGTTTATTGATAATATGATCAAGGCGTTCTTTACGTATTGTGAAAGCGATGTATTTGGTTTTTTCAGAATTCAAGGTAAGAAAATTAGTTTGCAACCATTCATTTATCAAATTAAGTCCCATCTGCGCAGCATCCTGAACAGCTTCTCAGGAATTTGTAGAAAAAAGAAGGCATGTGTCATCAGCATATGATATTATATGTCCATAAGGAAGCTGAACAGAAGTGAGATCGTTTATATAGACGAGAAATAATGTGGGACCTAGAATGCTGCCTTGGGGCACACCATAGGAAATTAAAGCCTCGTGACTAATGTAATCTCCGATTTTAGTGCATTGTGTTCTATTACAGAGATAATCTTTAAATAGAGCAAGTTGCTTTCCTCTAATACCACATAATTCCAACTTTTCTATTAGAATGCAGGTAGAAACAGTGTCAAACGCCTTGGCGAGATCCAAAAAAATTCCAATGACTTTGTTATTTTTGTCCAATTTTCTAACTACGTAATCTGTTAAGTCATGTACTGCTTCATCAGTGGATCTGCCCTGCCGAAAACCAAACTGGTTAGGGGATAGTACTTTTTTACTTTCTAAGTAGTTCGTGAGTTGTTTGTTTATAATTCGTTCGATTATTTTCGAAAAACAT